GAAACCCGTTTTATTGCAGAAAGTTTTTCATTGTAAATACAATATATATAATATGGACTGAAGGAAAATCTTAAACATTGATTCACACTTGAAAACCAACATTCAACAATAATATAACATAAAATTTGTTTAACATATTTAATAGTCGTCCATTTTGGCATACAACGAAGGAAACTTGTGGCCGCAGTCTTTTCTCTGTGAGCAACAAATGCCCGGGGGTAATAACCTGATATTGACAAATGCCCGCCCCCCCGGGTGAACACGCAGCTGCAAGTGCCTGGCCATGGGGACAAGTAAGCGTACAAATGCCCCACACTGTCCGGGGGGAGGGGGAGCGGTAATCGCAGCTGGAATTGACTGATGCATAATCTGGGCGTTGCCAAAAAAGGCCTTCGCTGAAAACGTTTAATTTTGCTTTGTTTTTTGAGATAGTTGAATCCTTACTAACACAAGCTTGTTACCACTGGCACTAACTACGTTGGTTGATAATTTTTAATTAAAACCCTGCTTTTAATAAACCCCAGCAAATTGAGACATATGTTATATCTTTCATACATCAAGATTTAAACTATATCAACACAAGAACAAGCCCAAATACCTTAGAAGCAGACACGCCAGAGTATTTTCAACACCTTCTGAACAGGTTACGGCGCTGGTATCGAGGCGAAAAGACCATCACACTTCAAGCTTCAACCACGTGTTGTAATTCAGTAAGCTTCACAGAATAGCATCTTTTGAAGGAATTTGCAGCCCTTTTTTAACGGCTAAGAACACAAGAAAGTCCATTCTTTAAAGATAAGTGGTAATACTTGGATAAAATCGAAAAAATAAAGGTTTTAGAACGAATATTTTGATCTAAAACTCGATTTAATGTTGGCTTTTATTGAAGCTCTTTCGATTTCCTCGCCATTGGTAAAATGACTAAAATCTGGTTATATTGTAGCCTGCGATAACTATTTCTTTCACGATTAATCTATATCCCCTGCAAGAATGATACCGTATAACTCTCAAAACAACGCTCCTTTAATCAAAGAGCTTAAATTCGCTCTGAAATCCGTGAGGGAATAACAAAATTCGGCCAAAATATATCCGCGTGCCGGGTTTGCTGTGCAAAAAGCGGAAGTCGTTGAACAACTCAAAATACACTCAACCCTGATTGGACAACGAATATCAACAAACATTTCAAATTTTTTTAACAAACACAATGTGAAATACAATTTATTATACGTATTAACGTACTACAGTTATATTTACATGCAGTAATATTTACACTTTATTATAACGTTTGTGAATAGTTTTGTTTGTATGATTGAAATTATTACAGTACTGTTAAAAAAATTTGAAATGTTTGTTGATATTCGTTGTCCAATCAGGGTTGAGTGTATTTTGAGTTGTTCAACGACTTCCGCTTTTTGCACAGCAAACCCGGCACGCGGATATATTTTGGCCGAATTTTGTTATTCCCTCACGGATTTCAGAGCGAATTTAAGCTCTTTGATTAAAGCAGCGTTGTTTTGAGAGTTATACGGTATCATTCTTGCAGGGGATATAGATTAATCGTGAAAGAAATGCATTAAAAGCGAAAAATCGAGGATAGTTTCGTGTGACATATGCCAAGTCTGGGCTATTTTGGTCTCAATGTCTCCTTCCTTCCCACGTTATAAGGAAGGCACAGGCGGGCGCGGGCAAATCGAGCCTGGGCCTCCTGTGGCGTTATTGGCGTTATAGGCGTTATTGGCGTTATAGGCGTTATTGGCGTTATAGGCGTTATAGGCGTTATAGGCGTTATTGGCGTTTGAGGTTGCATTCCATGTAAAGTCTACGCCGAAGATAGCCAATATTAACTATAGATAGTATTGTAATTTGCCAAACTCACGCCGAAGATCTTCGGCGTAGGCTACTTACAGTAAAATGCACCCTGGCCAGGGTGTAACCTGGGTGGCCACTCAGTCACCCTCGAGCGTGGCGCTTCGTTGAATTTCGAATAGTTAGCAAACACAAACCTCAGTTTTTACATGCTGACGTCATTAGAAACATGTAGCCTGCTCACAGGCTCTATCACCATATAACTTTTAGGAATTTATCCTAAAAAGAAGGAATTTGATATTTTTGCTTCGAGCAATCTAGGGAAATTTTTGAGAGTTAAGGAATTTTCAGAGATCGTACGAAGGAATTCTCGTGTTCGAAATTTCCAAAATGTCAGCAATGGCGAGCGAAGGAGATGTTGTTCGAATTGATGAAGTCGAAATGGGAGAGGCAGGAACAGCTGACGGTATTTTAGCCAGAGAAAAAGAGAAATTTGAATATATACATGGCCATGTTGAGCACCAAGAGTTGCATGTGCCTCCCCTTGACGAGCTGTGTAAAGGTAGGCACGTAGCGATGTGCCCCGTGTATAAATATGTTTATTAACCAAGTTAATTGTTCACATTAGCGGAAGTAGCAAAATCGTACACATTTACCTACGGTTTTGCTCTTCCAAGTAAGTTTTAAATAACTTTAACCCCGCCCCATGCTGATACATAAAAAAATTTAAGAGTATTACTGTAAATATTTGATATTGGACCATCTGGGCCTGTCCATAATTGGGTAAACGCCTGTTTATATGAGAGTACACAAGAGCCACTCAACCCGGCTGGCCGGGAATGGGAATCGTGCCGCCCAATCAGTTTTGAATTGAAAACAACTTTGTATTAATACCGGGTATAATCGCATTTGACTAGGCAGCATTTCACAGATAGTGACTCTAGTTTATATGTTTCTGTGCTTATTTTTGGGCTAACTGGCATGGCAGTACTTCTAAGTTGATTGGGTCGTACAAAATAGAAAAGATCTACACTCCCCCCGGGGACGTAGCGAAGCATCTGAAGTTGGGGGGGGGGGGGTGTAGGAGGATTTTACCTGAAATTTGAACTTCAATGATAAAAATTAACCTGAAGTGTAACAATTATAAATTATAATAGAGCTTTTTCTGATTGATTTCCGCTGTCATACTAAGTTTGCGAAGAAAGGGGGGGGGGGTCTAGGGGTCCTCCCCCAGAAAATGTTTACATTTTTGAAGCTCCACGACTGCATTTCTGGCATTTTCCAAAGCAAATTTGCAAACAAATTGGATCTAAATTGACTGTATTTTACAAAAATGGTTATCATTTCACAAAAATAACGACTTTATTATGCAAATTTTACCTGAAAATGTCAAAATTTAAACTTGAATTTTACCAGAGTTTCACAGTTGGGGGTGGTTTACACCACCACCCCCGGTCGCTACGTCCCTGACTCCCCCTCACAGAGGACATTTCTGCCATCCAGACCCCCCCGCCCCCCCGGTCGCTATGTCCCTGACTCCCCCCATGGATGAAATTTCTGCCATCCAGAGAGGAAGGGAAGAAAAATTTGTTTCTGATAATACTAAATGCATTAGGACATATCCAAGGGGGGGGGGGTTAACTCCCAATTTCCTCTTTTGGAAGGTCTGTTGTCGTACCCTACTTTATTATTTTACTCTGTCTAACGCGAGACAATTTTACTCGTCAAGGGAGAATGCTAGCATTCAATGGGTTAATTGAAGTTTTAAAACATTTAGTGTTGAAATCGGCTCTGGTCAAAAACTTCAAAGAGGTACATGTGGACGTTGTTGATTGTCCAGATCTATTGCAGAAACCATGGAGTCTAGCTGCACCAGGTAAATATTATCCCCCAGATTCATGCACATTCTTGCAAGCTTGCATGTTTCCAATAATTGAATTTGAATTTTTATATAGGAACATCTGATTTAGCATAGCTAGTTTAAACAAAGTCCTGTCTACTATATTACTACAAATATATTATTACAATATATTCTAGGAGAAACTATTCAGAGTGTCTGTAAATTGTTCATATTGGAAATAAAGATTTAAAGTAATGTTTTAATCTGGTCTTAAATGCCTGAAATTTTCCGAACATTTAGCAGTAACGCATTGAAAGTATGTGCACCATTATACCTAAAGCTACCCTGATAAATATACTCTTTTATACTAATTTACTATATTGGAAATCTACAATAACCAATAATGGTAAAAATTCAGTTTTTTCAATTCAGTCAAAAACCATTAATAATGGAAAGTTCACTTTTTCCTGTGATATAAGGGGCATGCAATTGTAAAATTGAAAGAGTTATAAGCTGTAACAAATCATTCTTAAAAACAAACGATGAGACAAACAGAATTTGTGAGGGTGTGCAACCTCTTTGACCCCACCCATTTTTGTAGGGACAATGGAAACTCTACGTTGCAAACTCCAACACCCCATGGAAAAGATAAGAATCAAACAGTCGTCACCAAATTTCCTATGATGCAATAAATGCATTGTTCCTCAGCATTTCATAGTTTTTTGTTTCAAGGTATTTGTGGTAGTACTCGTTTGGCTCTGGTTGGAGGTGTTCCATATTTGATACCTGTCCCAAATCTCTCAAAGGTAACCTCTTAAAGATCTTGAGAACATGGCCAATCATTCTAATCGTATTTCTAGACTAATTTTTATATCGTTACCAGGTGTATAATTTTGATATAATTGCAAAGCAAATTGGATTGCGAAATGGATTTTTTCTCGGACCTGGAGCAGGAAACAGTCGTGCGATTGGAACCTGTTGTGAGGTAATTTCGACTACCTATGCAATATAACAATTAAGAGACAACATCCTCTGTTGTATTGTTTCTGAATAGGGTGTTAGCTAGCCCATATACTGTCCATTTGACGGACAGTATATGGGCTAGATTTTCGTTTTTTTTCTGATGAGAAAGTGCATTGCGTTTGATTTTATATTATTACAGTAGAACCCCGCTAACTCGAACTCCCAAGGGGAACGAAAAATTGTTCGAGTTAGTGGGGGTTCGAGTTAACCGGAGTTGGTGTCAGATTTCGTTTATTATGTTAATAATTAATAAGGTTTTATACCTTATACTTGTTCATCAAAATTACAAAAAATTTAATTGTGCATCCCTATAACTAAAGTTCTTTAGTCAGTATCTTTTTAACTTGGGTGATGGAGAAGGCATGCAAGTTCCATGCAAACTAAAGTTCTTAGGAAAAATATGTAGAGATTTTACAAAAGGAACTAAAAAACTAGATCAATAACAATCGTCGCAACTATGTGTATAATCTTTTAAAATTTATGATCATTTACACACCGAATAAATTGTCGCCATTTGAATAAAAATCCAAGTTACCGGTTGTCAAAATGCTATGTTCTGACATTTTAAAGGTGATCTACAGTCCGTATGTAAACAAAGCCTTTGTTTACATTTTTGTGTCCAAAATATTGAGCTTTATTCGACAACTATTTATATTTTCAAGCTTCTAGAGTATAATAAATGATCAAGAAACAACAATCAGGCTTTTCAAGAACTCAAAACATAGTTAAACTGTTTGTATCATAAAAAGTGGGCTCATTTGTGCACATGCGCAGATCGGACTGTAGATCACCTTTAAAGTTTGCTGATCCACTACTCGAAAACAAAGTTCGAGTTAACGGGATAAATTTGACCAAGGGAAAACAAAATTTGTTCGAGTTAAGCGAGTTCGAGTTAGCGGGGGACTACTGTATATCAAAGAACGTTTTATTTACTTTTTCCCATGAACTATTTTCTCAAAATGTATCGTGTTTCATCCATATTGGGCGTGTATTCACTGAAATGAAATGCACAAAACAAAGTGTAATCGGTGTGCATCTGTGTTCATTGACCGGAAATGAAATATACAAAACGAAGTGCCATCGGGTGCATTTTTCAGTGTTCATTCACCGGAAATGAAATGTAAAAAACCAAGCTACCGTTGTTTGCATCTGGAGAAACACGTTGGAAAAAAACACTATTTATTCCAGCACAAGGACTTTGATCGGTCAAAAAAACTTTCCCAAATTACGTTTAACGGACAAAACTTTTTTTCTGGCTAACACCCTGTTGTATATAGGATCTAGAGAACCAAAAAAGTGGTACGGGTACCAATTTTATCCATGCCGTACCAAAAATTGAGCGTAGTGTAAACGGGGCTGTACGATTACTTGTAATTTCGTCACTTGTAACGAAGTTACAGCACTGAGTCAGCACTGGATATATTTGGGTGAATTCAAGTATGTTATTTTACTGCAGATGATGGCAAATGTCAAACTGTCGCCTGACATCATCAGATCGAAAATGGCCAAAGTTAACCCCGAGGTATTTCAAGACTAAATTGAATTTATGCTTATTGCATATGCCCTTGTCGCAATAACCTACATGACATCTGCATAGTTTCTGTATTACAAGTGTTGTACTTTTAGGACGGGTCAGCTGAACTACATGATTACAAAGTGAAAGAGTTTAGTATGATGGCAGATATGTTGGTATCGGAGGGAAAACAGGGAAAGGTAAACGGTTTAAACCTTGGAATGACATTCAATTGATTGTTAATTTGCAATACTAACTTTTGCAGGTTCAGACTTGGGAAAAAATACATCAATTATAAAAATACATGAAAACAATGACTGGATGGCACTAGAGAACAGTAGGATTTTCAAAACAATTAAAAAGGCAATGGAACATTTCGATCACTGGATCATGAATAAAAAGGCAGTGGAACATTTCGATCACCGGATCATTACTGGATGGCATGGAGAACAGTGGGATTTTCAAAACAATGAAAAAGGCAATGGAACATTTCGATCACCGGATCATTACTGGATGGCATGGAGAACAGTAGGATTTTCAAAACTATGAAAAGACAATGGAACATTTCGATCACTGGATCATTACTGGATGGCATGAAGAACAGTGAGATTTTCAAAACAATAAAAAGGCAATGGAACATTTCGATCACCGGATCATTACTGGATGGCATGGAGAACAGTGAGATTTTCAAAACAATAAAAAGGCAATGGAACATTTCGATCACCGGATCATTACTGGATGGCATGGAGAACAGTAGGATTTTCAAAACTATGAAAAGACAATGGAACATTTCGATCATCGGATCATTACTGGATGGCATGGAGAACAGTAGGATTTTCAAAACTATGAAAAGACAATGGAACATTTCGATCACCGGATCATTACTGGATGGCATGGAGAACAGTAGGATTTTCAAAACTATGAAAAGACAATGGAACATTTCGATCATCGGATCATTACTGGATGGCATGGAGAACAGTAGGATTTTCAAAACTATGAAAAGACAATGGAACATTTCGATCACCGGATCATTACTGGATGGCATGGAGAACAGTGGGATTTTCAAAACAATGAAAAGACAATGGAACATTTCGATCACCGGATCATTACTGGATGGCATGGAGAACAGTAGGATTTTCAAAACAATGAAAAGACAATGGAACATTTCGATCACCGGATCATTACTGAATGGCATGGAGAACAGTAGGATTTTCAAAACAATGAAAAGACAATGGAACATTTCGATCACCGGATTCAATTCTATCATCGGAGAACAGTAGGATTTTCAAAACAATGTATTTATTTATTCGTATTTAGTATGTGTCATAGATTGATAGATTTGGGCTAATCGCAAAGAATGAATTTTTCGGATGGGCAGGGTGAAACATTTCTTCGTCACCATAGTAGCTCTAAAAAAGTTCCATAAATCATAATATTGCAATTTTCATAACCGCTCGTTGATGCTAATTTTTATAGGTTGTAAAAGTGATTGCAAAATCTCGCAAAGGGAAAGACAACTTCGTGTCATGTATGCGCCAGTCATTAGATCATTATTATGGCAACTTTAGAACGGTTGGAATGGGTGGTGTATTCTGTATTGAGACTGGACAAGCAAAATTACATGTTATGGTGAGTAAGGGTCATGTAGGCAGTGACATATGTACTTGTACCCGAATAAAAAAACCTCTGAAAGTATTTGTCGTATGACGAAGCTGTGACAATAATTTTACAACTGTGAAAGCATTTTTTAGTTGACAGGCTATTACTTAATATTTTTCAATTTTTGTATTCTTTCCTAACTTTAGCCAGCGTTCAGTAAAGAAGCGCTGGACAGTGACGAACACGTGAAGGAATGGTTGAATTTCTACACCATGGATTCCCCGTTGACGTGTCTTAGTGTGTTTGTTTCCAACGACTCGGTGAGTCCTAAGTCTCCAGATGCAGATATTTTGAACAAAATATACCATTAAAGGCATGGAATAATGATTTATCTCAATTAATAAAGCATTAATAATTCTCATCTCAAATTAGCCAACCATATCGCTTTATTTTGCTCGCATGATAAATAGAGAATAATACATGGGTGCGCGGAAATACCAGATTTATTTCGAGTGTTGAACATGATATCTCACGAGTGAGCGCAGTGAACGAGTGAGATATCATGTTCAACACGAGAAATAAATCTGGTATTTCCAAGCACCCATGTATTTTTCTGTTTATTATATAAACAAAATTCAGTGAAAAACAATAAAACGTCCGTGGCAATGCGTTTTACAACAAATGATATTTTCACACGTAAAATTATCGTATTTTTTTACGTGTGTTTAAATACGATTTTTCTCAGTGGCCAAAAACTCTATATAACATTTATGTTTATATAATAAAGCCTTTTATTACATCAAGCAATAATTCTACGATGTTTTCGTATATTTCAGGGTTTAGACCTACGACTAGAGCACACACACTGCTTCAGTGATCATGGTCAGGGCGGCCACTATCACGAGGATACGACCCCGGAAGAAGTTTCCTACCTAGGGTACTTTGTTCCTGCAGAGTACGTTTACCGTATAGACCGCCCACCTTCCACGCATACGATAGGACGGGACTGAAAACTGAGGGACGCAGAAACTAGAGTGTGAAAACAGAATTGAACTAGGAATGGCGACGGTGCGTTCTTGCTTGAAATCGTGTTGTCGTTTTTGGTTTCAAGGCAGAACTGCTGATAACGGCTGAACATTAAAGGCACACAGTTCAGCCTTTTGAATGATGGTTTTTAAGGCGCATTTCAGCCCTTTTAATTGAAAAAAACTAACTGGGAAAATCAATTAAGCATAATTCAAGATCAGCAAACTTAATGTTTTTAACATTTTAAAACATTTTTATTGTTAAAAACATTGAGTTTGCTGATTTTGAATCATGCTTAATTGATTTTCCTAGTTAGTTTTTTCAATTAAAAGGGCTGAAATGCGCCTTAAAAACCATCGTTCAAAAGGCTGAACATTAAAAGCACAGTTCAGCCTTTTGAATGATGGTTTAGGAAGGCGCATTATACAACCCTTTCAATTGAAAAAAAACGAACTAGGAAAATCAATTAAGCATAACTGAAGATCAGTGAGCTCAATGTTTTCAACATTATTGTCGATTTCAGATTACTTTTCAAAGCGCGGTTCCCAAGTTTGTTGACAACTTGCCAATTACGTTTCCAAATTCGGAAGTTCGGCGGGAACTTCGCAACGAAGTTCGCAAGTTCATTTCAAAGTTCGAACTTCGATTGTAAACAAATGTAAAAATTTCATTTATAAATTTATTTAAAAAGGCATTTTTCGTCTTGGGAGACCACTGGACCAATATTTTACTGCAGTAATATGTGCATAGGGCCTTATACAGTAATTTCAACTCCAACTATGAACATTTATTTACAATCGAAGTTCGAACTTTGAAATGAACTTGCGAACTTCGTTGCGAAGTTCACGCCCAACTTCCGAACTTGACAACGTAATTGGAAAGTTCGCAACGAACTTGGGAACAGCGTGTTGAAAAGTTACCTGAAATCGACAATAAAAATGTTAAAAACATTGAGTTCACTGATCTTGAATTATGCTTCATTGATTTTCCTAGTTAGTTTTTTCAATTAAAACGGGTTGTAATGCGCCTTAAAAACCATCATTCAAAAGGCTGGACTGTGCCTTTAAACTATGTACGCGTGCGTCTGTGTGGACTTGCCAGTGGGCATGTCAAATATACGCAGTGAGCTCCATATATAACTGTAGTGAGAACTCGAGTCTAAAAAGTGAAGACAAAATGGCGGAAATTGAAGAGGTATTGGTCGTCAGTTCCAGTCCATTGTTTTTGTCTGCGCAGTTAATACGAAAGCTGGCAAGGAGTGTGCCGAGATTTCGTATTTTGTCATCGATTTAAAGAATGATACCATGGTTTTATGAAGTAATAACTTGTTTAGCGATGTGGTTCGTTAGAACACTAGCTGGGGAAAATGGTATACGACGTTCTTAGTTATTGGATATTTCCGCCATCTTGTCTTCACTTTTCTCATAAGCCGAATGACTGAAGTTCACGCTCCAGATATATAGAGCTCACTGTATATACACCACTGATCTGAAAATTAGCCTGGACAGTGCACCCACTTTCATAAATGAAGCCAATAGCGGCTATATTGGTGAAACCACCAAAAATCTACTGTGGTGCTGCTGACATAGCAATTTTTGCTGCGATTTTCTTCTGATGGGTGTGAACGAGTGGATAAGTTATGAATGTTCAGATGACATATACTCCGAAGTCCGAACATTCGTAACTCATCTACTCGTTCACATCCATCAGAAGGAGAAAATCGCACTAGAAATCGCAGCAAACATTGCAAGTGTAAACGAGCCTTTACAATTTCTAGTTATCGGTGAGAAAGGATAAACATTGTCTAGATAGAAATTTATCAACAGTGGCCTCTCTTCCCCCTTAAATTTCATTATCTAAACTCATTAGAAGAGATAGGGGAAGCTATATCTTTCAAGTTACATTGGAAAAGACAAATACTTGCTTGGTAATGTAGCTAATTTAAACATGATGTTTGTGATGTTACTCTGAGTGTGCATCCACACCGGTGTGTGGTATTCACCTGAGTACACAACACCAACACACAAAAAAAATGTAATTCAAACATGTTGCGATCCGATTTCCAGAGATTTTGACAGATTTTAAAATCTCATCTCATAAATATCCTGGCTTCGAAATTGGCTGATTGAATTCAAAATGATACTCTATCCAGGCAGTTTTCAGATCAGTGGTGTACACTTTGAAAAACACTTATTGTAGGTGATAGTCATTGACATTGTAAAGGGGTGACCGTGGCGGGAATAAAAACACTGCGAACTTTGTTTTTGTTGAAGGAATTTGTACATGGAAACTTCGAGCGTAAAAACAAAAATCTGGTCAAATGTTTTAGAACACCCTTTTTTTTGGCCGTTACAAAAATAGTCATAAATTTGATGCTTCCTACGCCCCTGTAGATATGACTATTTTTGTAACAGCCAAAAAAGACATTTGACCAGTACTGTGTGATCATTACTCCACCAAGACTCACGGGAGATACGAAGTGGTTCGCGCACTTGCCTTTCACCTCTAAGGCTGCTGGTTCAAGCCTCAGTGAGAACTTCTCAATGTGACTCGAACCCAGTTCTCATTAGACTTTCCAAAGTCCTTTCCAGACCCTTCTATGGCGCGCTTCACTTCCTCGTCGCTCGGGTCGCGCGCTCCCTCCCCTGCGCCCTCCTTCCCCCATGGTCGACTTGTGGCAAGTCTAAGTTCTCATGTGAACTGAGAGTAAAAGTCAACGCTCTGCCGAAAGTCGTGGGTTTTCTCCGGGTACGGCCGGTTTCCTCCTGCAAGGAAAGTTGACAGGGTGGGTTAGGCACTTAGGTCAGGAGGCAGATCATTAACGAGGTATGGACTAATAGCGGCTGCTCATGCGCCATTTGTAAGCTCAAAGTCTACGTCGGTCTGCTTCACGTCAGTCCGGTTCTATCTATCTATTCATAATGTAACCAGTCACTGAAAAGCCCTGATAGGGAGTGTGCTGTGAAATATCTGTATCTGTAGTCATGAAGCCAGCTTGAACATCTGAGATCCGTTTCAGACGGCGACTCTTCATGCGCCGAAAAAACAAACACGTCAATTTTTAAATTGCAAGAGCCTAATCTAATGCTAACAAATTTCAAACGTTTGAGTTAGGTTTGGTGCACGAGAGGAACGGCATATTTTAATAGAGAGTTTAAGCTTCACGTTGTACATCACACGGCAGGCAAAGAAAAATTTTACGGTATCAGGCAATAAAGAGTAAATGAACTTGCTGTTTTAAAACTGAAATACATCATTATTCCTTTCGACACAAGAAAGAAAATACGAAACGAAAACGTTCAACGAAAATTTTGCCAAGAAAGTTCGAACCTGCTGTTTGCCGTTCCCGGAAACGTGAAGCTTAAACTCCCTGATATGAATGTCGCCCCAACGTCGCTCTGTCGAACATGTGTCGAACTTTTTGTCACTCCAATTCTGCCGTGCAATTAAGTAGAACAGACAAGCAAACCAAAGTCGCCAATCGATTCCTACTGCGATCAAAGTGAATTTCAGCTCCTCGGCTGTGGTAGGTAGCCTCGTTTACGTGTACGGGGCTGCCCGCAGGCAACGGCTGGAGAGACTAAAGTCCTATTTAGTATACAGCTAGTTCACGCACGGAAGTGGTAACCATTTCCCGTTTGTAATCTAAAATGACTGAAAATTGCAAACTTCGCAAGGCTATATTATCCGCATTTTACAACATTTTAAAACGAAACTTTGGAATATTACTAATTTTGTGGTGTTCTTTCATGCTGTGATGAAATTTTTGTCTAGACTTGTTGAGTTCAACATTTTGGTTAATTGGGGATTGGTCATTTAAGGTTGTCCTCGAACAAAGCGGAAAAGTCGAAAACGAGCGCGAAAGGTTGTTGGGAATCGCTAAAAAAATCATTTTTTCGCGATTCCAAACAGCCTTTCAGTGCTCGTATTCGACTTTTCCGCTTTAAAATTGATGTGGTATTTGATCTCCATAATTATACGCAATGATTATGTCAATATGTGTCAACGTGGCATATTCGGTGCATCGTATCATGCTAATAATATAGCGACCAGTATTTCCTGTTAATTTAATTAAGTGTGTCTCATAGCCTATTTTCCGAACGAAACGACAAATTGCAAAACGGCAAGGGTTAGGGACTTTTAAGGCTAGCAATTTGCCAGTTTTGTTTCGCATGCAAGATATACCATTCATCAGCCATATGCAATCAATGTCAGTGTCAATGTCAATGTCAATGCATTTTAATTAATTTTCATTTATAAAATATATATGCAGGTCAGTCGTGTAGTATCATTTCCGCATTCTGAGAAACCTTTCACACGTTCAGTTAACTTAGAAGCAGGTGATAATAGCGTTGCTCATAGATCGAGATAAAATGTGATCAGGAACAATCTTCACTTCAAAACAACATGGAGCCTCATGAAGCGACAGCTAAAAGTTTTACCAATCAACGAAAGGTCTTTGTATGCCGTGTAGTTGTATTGGCACCTATCGTCTGTATCCTGACTGTTTTCCTCGTACTATTAGTATGTATGGAATTCGCGGGCCAGAATGGAACGGTTTCAAATGACACCATTTGCCAGACTTTAAATTTTACTGTACAGTACAAAAATGGCTCGCTTATTGCATCGTGTATTAAAGATAAAGTCGGTAATTCTACAAAGATGACGAACTGTTTGGAGTTTAAAGTTTTGTGTGCTTTGGGAAGCGCAGATAGTCAATCGATAAACAGGTCAAAAGACCAGAAGTCACACAACAGTTCGTGGAAAGATTTCGGATTTTGCTTGCACAACGTGACAAGGTTGGGATTTTTGCGAGATGGCTTGCTTCAAAACGGGGCTAATTTCGTTCGGGAATTATTTGCAAAGGAGGGGGCATTTATAAACTGCTCATTTGACAAAGCGAAAGCGAGAACGACGCCATGCAGTGTAAATAACGAAAAGGAAACGTCAAAACAAAAACGTATGAGAGAGAATACACGCATTGCTGATACAGTTTTGGTAGTGCTACTGTCGTTAGGATTGCTCGCTTTTATTGTAATGTGTGTTTACACAAGGAAGACGCTTAAAGTTTGCTGTCACATGTGCTATGAGGATGACCATGACAGATACAAGCGGAACTCGAAACCGTAATCAAATATAAATGATCAAATTATGTAATTAAGATAAGATAATATACGATTCACACGGGATTTCCAATTCAATCGTACCGTAACGTAGCTTATTTCTTTGTTTTCTGAGTACCAGTCTACCAGAGTCATGATTTCGACACATAAGAAGCTGCTACAATACGTTACGTGGAAAACAGAGAATTGGAGTACTTGTATCGAATTTAGTGCGCAGTAATGCAGTGAGCTCCATATATTATCTGGAGTGAGAACTCGAGCCAAAATGGCGAAATTTGAAGAGCTATTTATTGAAATGAATATAACTGGAACGCTACCTTCAGATAAACTGCCCATCTTTTTCATGAAGCCAAATCGTGACGCGTGAAAAGACTGGGACTGGCCTTCAAGATTCGCTTCAAATTTCTGGTTGGAGCATTCTCGTACCCAGAGCCCTTCTTACGCGCGGTGCGACGAGGGGCTCTGGCCAAATCCATATTCTGAACTGGCATCTGATTGGCTAGTTCTAACACCGGATATTGTTTTCTTACCATGTTTTTATGGTATCCGGTTATGGATTTGGCCACAGCCCCTCGTCGCACCGCGCGTAGGAAGGGCTCTGGGTACGAGAATGTGGTTGGAGCTATTGGACGTCAGTTCCAGTCCCTTTCTATTGTTTTTGGCAAAATAACACTCTCATATCTCTCGTCAGGAATCAGTTAACTTAAATATCCTGCACTGAATATGTAGTTGTAAACAATATCATTCTATTAAGGTTCAAAACTTTTAGTTTGGTTGTTGAATGAATCTATAGACTTGCTTTCTATTTTGAGTTTAACCACCGTTTAAGCTAAACGGGCTTGATACAACCGGCCCCAGATAAATATGGCCTTACGTTTAAAGCATCATTGATAATTGTATTTTAATTGACATTTTTTTACCAAATAAATATGTATTTAAATGCATTTAAAAAGGTAGCTAACTGTATAAACTAGAGAATAAAGCTAAAACAAAGCAATTTTGAGAGGAACGCCAAAACCATTTTCGATTTTGAACACTTTTCATCGCGAATACGCAACACAGAAAAAATTGCCTTTTAATACACGACGGATCTGCTCGGCCCATAAAATGGCTGGCAGTATGAATAGACCTTTCCCCTTTTAAGTGAGATTTTGATCTAGACAAGTCTGGACAAAAATTTCATCAAAAGAGCATCACAAAATTAGTAATATTCCAAAGTTTCGTTGCGAAATGTTGTAAAATGCGGATAATATAGCCTTGCGAAGTTTGCCGTTTTTCAGTCATGTTGATTACAAATGGGAAATTGATAATCAGATGATGAAACTGATTATCAATTTCCCGTTTGTAATACAAAATGACTGAAAAACGGCAAACTTCGCTTTTACAACATTTCGCAACGAAACTTCGGAATATTACTAATTTTGTGATGCTCTTTCAAGCTGTGATGAAATTTTTGTCCAGGTTAGTCTAGATCAAAATTTCACTTAAAAGGGGAAAGGTCTATTTGAGCCAGCAGTACTACGGTGTGACACGAATCCTTTAAAAAGCATAGTCTGTCAAGATACGATGGTCTGGAAGCCCGGCAAACTTCAAAGCCACAAAATAGAAGACCTTTGTTTGATGTTGAACTGTACCTCACTGTACACAAATCCTTTGTCTCAACTTCATTAAATATTATTCATCGTGGTTGCACGTTTCATCTCAGCTATCCCTATTGGACGATTACTTCATTATATGAAAATACAATGAGCTCAATCACCGTGACCGTGCATAAATTAACATAAACTCCGACAAAACATAACTCAATGACTTCTGTTCAGTTTCCAGACAGCATCACATCTTGACAGACTATGAAAAAGTGATTAGTTACGTTACAAAATAACTTTCGTAATTAATTACCGAAAAATTTCTCAAAAAGTAATTAGTAGTTAGTAACGCGTTACTGTAGTATATAGCGAATATTTACAACACTGCAATCAATTTAGAGATCAGCGACCACCTGTTACACACATTTCTCCAAAGATAGACTAAATACCAAATGATCTTAGACCCAGTGCTTTTACTTGAATGCCAAAAACGTATTTGCCTACCTGTCAATGCTCGCTCAACTATGACTACAGCAAATAACTCGACAGTTGATAATCCGACATATATATAATTCTTCATTAATACTACTTTGAAAAGGTTAAATTAAGGCTTAGTTAGCCTAACCAATTTTTATAAACCACTGTTTGTGACGAGATATCATAATGCTATGTTAATAAACAAATATTGACTGTGATTTGATGTTATCGATGATGTAGAACATTGGATTATGTTTAATACTAAAACATATGTAGCAATTTTAACACTATTTTCATGGCGATGAATCTACAGTGTCGTAAAACGTATGATCAATTGGAATTTGATGATAAAATAACATCACCTTCGAACGGCCATGGATGCGAGGTCAAGAGGGAATATCAAGGTACGTGGTTATGATGTATTTATTGTACTAGTGTGGGACTTACGGCTTGATTTTATTTTATATATGGCATGTTTTAATCCCAGAAATATTGCGAGAATAGCAGAGCAGCCAAGTCTCACGGTTTACCTGCGAGCCTCCATGCAAGTTTTGTGGCTGAACTCCAGGTCTCACGGTTGGGTTTACAAATTTCACGGCCGTACATTCAGGAAAATGATTTTTATATTGATCAGATTCCGCATCTTTGAATGCAAGGAATAAGATTTATCACTGCGCGTTTTCTATTCTTTTCCAATTCTTCTTAATCCAACGAAAAAAGTATGGGGAACAGAGGCAGAGGACTATAAAGAAACAAACATGTTCCAAGAGCGTATGCATTTCAGTCTACCTCATTTTTCCATAGAAACACAAATGTATGGATGGGGCATGCCAATGAATTACATGATGATCATACTCCCCCCTCCCCCCCC